ACAACTCAGACTGTGTGTGCGAAGTTAAGAGAGCATGCTTGAGGGGTGCCCCCTCTGGACCTCATTCTTCTCTGGCTTACAATGGCAGGAGCTGGGGATGGCTCACAGTGCTGACTCCCCACCCCTACATAACCCGCCCCCAGGACAAGCACCTACCTTGCGGACCTGTGCGGGGCTCAGGTAGGCCATGGGAACCGCAGCAGAGCATGCAGCAGAAGGCTCTGGGCTTCCTCCCAGGCACTGTGCAGGGGAAAGTTCAGGAGGGCTGGCTGGCACCCTAAGGTCCAAAAGGACTTAACCCTTCCCGACCCAGAGAAAGCCGGGTGCTACCTCCCCAACACACCCTGAGCGACCTCTCTAGACTGATCCCCAGCCCCTGGAGCCCTCTCACCTCTCCAGCCCTCCTTCTCTCAAAGTAATCCAAGATTAGCCTTTTGTGACCTCCTTCATGGTTTTGAACCACTCCCCCCCCCCTCCCCCGCTTCTCTCCTGAAACCACCCTGACTGCTTGCCTGTGCCCAGAAACTGTGTTCCCAGGGGTTAGGCAATGGAGCTGGGCTGGCAGGACACTCTGAGTCCCAGTCCCAGAGCCAACACGGTGACCTCTGAGAAGCCTCTTGTCCAGGGAATACCAGAAATGGGACCACCAGCATCCACAGCTAGGGGGTGGGTCATAGGGTGGGAGCTTCAAACCTCTCAGTCCTCTCAGATTCAGGGAGGGAATTTACATTTTAGAGATCAGTCTGCAGTTCTGTAGTGTAGTGGTTACATATGGGGCTGCCATCCGCAAGGCCAGCGGTTCAAAACCACCAGCCTGCGATCATCAAGAGTTACAGTCTTAGAAACCTACAGGGGCAGTTCGACCCTGTCCTATAGACTCGCCACGAGTCACCATTGACTCGAGTTTGGCTTGCTGCAGCTCAGAGGAAAGGACAGATGAGCGTGTGCTGTCGAAGGAGGAAGGAGCAGAGAGAAGCCCTTGCTCTTTACCCCTAGCCCCAAGTGGGCGGGCACAGGTGACCTGGGACACAGCGCAAGCTCACCCCACCCCCACTCCCCAGCCAGTCCTGTGAGGCAGCTGACCAGGCCATTCTCTGGCTGCTGCAGCTTCTGAAAACAGGCCACTGGCCTTCCCAGAAATGACAGCTTTCTGAATGGCAAAGGGACAGCGTGTCTCGGGAGAGACTTGGCCCCAAATCAAGTCATGTTGCTGCTTTGTTCAATTCATGGTGTCCAGCCTTCTGGACAGCCAGGGAGGGGTGGCCTCCCCCAGCTTGCCTGCTCTGGGGGCTAGTTTAGGCCAGTGAGACCACGTGAGGAAGGCAGGCTGAAGAGGAACCAGGAGGGAAATACTGTCAACTTCACTGGGGACAGACAGCTGTCCCCCTTCTTGGCTGTCAGTCCCTTCTGATGCAATCATCCAACAGAGACTCCAGTGCACAGTGAGACAACAGGATGGTTCTTTCAGGCCCAGAGGGCAACTCCCCCTGGGGGCCGCCTTCCCTGCCTGGACTAGAGGGTTAATGCACTGCCATCAAGCCGATAAGGACCCTCCCTATAAAGGGCACAGAACTGTCTCTGGGATTTCTGAGCCTGTAAAGCCTCATCTTTCTCCCTTGGAGCAGGCTGGTGGGTTGGAACTCCTGACCCTGTGGTTAGTAGTCCAACGGGGAATCCACTGTGCCACCAGGGCTCACTCCTAGAGATCATTACTAAAGTATTATAGGCAGCCCCTGACTTCTGAATGAGACCCCCTAAGTGTATTTCTCTGTAAGTTGGAACTCATGCATAAGGTTCCTATTTCACCTTACATGCAAGGGGGAGGGGGAAGCCCTAGTGGCATAGTGGGTTACACACTGGGCTGACTAACCACAAGGCCAGCAGTTTGAAACCACCAGCCACTCCAGAGGATAAAGAGGTGGCTTCGCACTCCTGTGAACAGTTACCATCTGAGAAACACACAGGCAGTTCTACTCTGCTTGATCAGGTCAACAGGCATCAGGATCGACGCAATGGTAGTGTTTAATTGTTCTGGTTTAAACACAAGGGTCACTCTGAGTCAGCATCTACTCAATGGCGGCGAGTTTGATTTGAGTTTGCTTTTTTCCCCAAATACTTTTATTGGGGGCTCTTATCACAATCCATACATGCATCCAGTGTGTCAAGCACCTTTGCACATATGCTGCCATCATCATTTTCAAAGCATTCTTTTCCCACTTGAGCCTCAGATATCAGCTCCCCATTTCTTCCCCTTCCCT